GCCAGATCGCTTACCAGGCAAGACAGCTTCTTCACTCCTCTCCATGAATTCTCCTGATGTTCTCGGCCTGCACTCATCGGAGCTCAAGAACCTAGCGTTCTTAACGGTGAATCGAAGGCAATTCTCGGCCAGTGTCTCTTGCCATTGCTTGCGTCTCCCTATGAAGTTCTTCCCTGCTATCTGCTATCAAGGCAATGTCACTTGCGTAGAGGACGTTCCTGAGTGGCCTCTGCAGGCTTTCCTTTGTCATGATATCTAGGGCTAGTAGGCAGAGGAAAGGGCCAAGAAGCTGACACTTGGTGTACCCTAACCCTGTCTACTTCTTTGTGAGGCCGCGGTGCTTAAGCCGCCTTTGCCACATCAACATGTCCTTCAACAAAGAGGTGAGGTGCTCGGGAACATTCCGTCTTCTGAGAGCCTCCAGAGTAAAGGTCGCGGTAAAGGATGAGGATGAAGCAGCTTCGGCATTCAGACCTTTCGGGCATGGAAGCCGAACTGCTTCTGTGACATCAGAACGAGCCACCCAGCGCGGCGTTGACTAGGTCAGTTTAATGCAGGGTACAGCATGGGGATGTGCGAAATGTCGGTGTGAGTACGACCCCCCCCCTTCGAATGGGGTCCAGGCACAGAATGCATATAGTGCATATAAAACAAAATACGACCCCTTCCCTGAGCGAAATTACGACCCCCCCCCATGGGTTTGACACAACGATGCTGTACCCTGGTTTAATGCCTCCGTAGTTGGAGCAGTCCGTCGCTCCCACCTACGGCTTGAAGATGGGAACAATGGTACTGCGCGTCTGAGCATCCAGTAGCATTCTACCATCGAGTGTTATGTTCTTTGAGAAGCGGATGAGCCAACTTGCCCCATGCGCTCCAGAGGCCTTCCAGGCATAGGATCCCATACTAGACCATTCGCCTTCCCAACCTTCATTCTTCCTAACTCTCTATGGGACTTATCCCCTGGCCGAGATGTGATGGCACCAGCAGTCCTTGCAAGGTGACTTTTCTTTCAGAAGTTCTGTGAAGAATCTTCCCATTTTTTCTTGACTTGGCTTCCTCTAAAGTCACGAATAGTCACAGAATAATAGTGGATAGTCACACCTTTTTACAGTCTTCACTACCCTGATGTCAGTAGCCCGATGGCGGGCTTTAGCCAGCCGAAAGACGAACTTGTCCGCTTCTTCGTTGTCCAATTTATAGTCCGTCCATTTCCGTTCTTCCTTTAGAACGAGGCGTTACCTTCATTCTCCCTTTCTGCTCTTCGCCTTGGCCACCTCTTGTAGAGAGCAAGAACTTCTGGTGTCCTTGCCTTCTGCTATTGCTTGTACGCTTCTTTCTTCCTCTTAAACTCGTGCGTGCTCGTGTTGGACTTTCTCGCTTCAGAACCCGTTGCCCCGTCTCCTCTGGTTCCCTCTCGTGTCTCTCCCAGTACTCTTTAGCACACCGGAGGATGACATCTGCTGCGTTAATCCAAGTGTCATGAGCACGTCCAAGATCGCGAGACCAGTTTCCAGTACTCTCCTTCTTTCTCCATTTGGCGTAACTTCCACCAGCTTCCGCCAGCGTATCCTCTTCTCTGTTGTTACCTTTCTCTGACTGGGAAGATCTAGGACAATGTTTGCCAAGAGGGGTTTGTGTTGAGGGTCCTGTTCTTCCCTGGGCAACACCTTGATGCCTTAACAGATTCGAGAGACGATGTTCTTGCCTGCACTACCGTACATCCGCCTCTGGTCTGCCTTGATTGTTGAAGAGGGTGCTGAGATCGCTACTAGCGTGTGTCGGTTATTTGACTGTCCAGCGTCCAAGGCCTTTCTCTCCGCTATTTCGTTCACAAAATCTCCGGCAACTGTTCAACTATTACTCCCCAGATTTTCCGGAAACGGGCCCGGACTTTTTTGATCGACTTTTTTCGGGGAGTTGGGATTTGGCTGGTAAGTTGTCGGTCTAGCGGGTTACATTCGATTCCTGAACAACGATAGTCATTTCCGCTGCCTCTCGAACACGCCTGGCGCCCGCTGCCCATAGGCCCCGCCCGGCCGCCAAAGTACCACTAGCTCACTGAAATTCCGCTAGATAAACCTCTGTACACGACGCGCTAGTTCTGACCTACCTAGATTCACGGATCCACTCACGTTGCCCGGCCTTGAACAATACGCCTCCGCGTCCGCGGTACGGCGCGCCGGCGCCAAATGCCCCCAACACTCCATCCTTGGCGTCCTATCCCGGCAGCCCCCCCGGGCGCAGGCTATTCAGCCTAGTGGACTGTCGATAGTCTACGCCTGTCTACTAGCGAGGTCGAATATCCCCTAGACCCCGCTTTCAGCCGAATCCACCCCCCTTTAGCATAAAAGTTCGATCACGCCTCGGCGCTGTATTTCCCGCCAAAACATCGGACGATAGTAATAGTCTGAATAGTGCTCCAATTTCCCTATGCGGACACCCTTTCTATGCCCTTTCTGTCACTACCTATGTGTCCGTTAAGATCACCCGCAGTACTGAGATAGTCACCTTCTATAAATGTGATGGTCTCGTCCAGAGTCATGTAAGAAACACCTTTTCCCAACTCAGAGCAACCAGCTTGCGGTGCGTACTTGGTCGCTATCGTCCAGTACTCCTCCCTCGTGTCCATTCTCACTCCCATGATTCGATCACTGACCCTGTTCACAGAGGAGACGCAGTCCGTGAGATGCTCCTCCACCTCTAAGGCCACCCCATTCCGCTTAGCATTTCCATTACTGTATTAGAGCTTGGCCCTTCTCCAATCTCACGGGACTTGGCTCCTATTCAGCTCGTCTCCTGAAGGCATAGGACTAGGATTCACTCGTTTTATCAGATAGCGACCTTTCGGTAGACGTTCGTAGTCCCTATTCGAACTAGCTTCTTTAGCCAAGGTCGTTCACCCCTTAGTAGCCCTCATAACAACCACAGAAGTGGAGCGGGGGCTAGCATTGTCACTGAATCTCTCGCGAAATTCAACCATTGTGATGGGATTCTTCATCGTCCGGCCTGTCAACATGGACCTGTCGATAGTAACGGCACAGTCATGGTTGCAAGGGATGGTCTTTGCGATCGAACTCGTTGCCTTTTTCAGAGGGTCCGCAAACACGAGCCTACAGTCTTCAACATATCAAGCTGTACAGTAAAGGCAGGAATAACCTCCCAGCTATCTCCGCCTTCCTGTACAGCTTCACATGTTGGAGCTTTACTAAGAGGAATTCTCGATCAAATGGTCGACGCTGCCTAGCAGAGGTGGTGAAAGTAAGAAACCGAAAGTGAGAGTTTAGCGGGTGCAGCAGCGGGATTAGTGAGTCCAGTTTTTTTCATAATAGAGCACGGCTTTGAGATCCTTGACTTCAAACCGTTATCGAGAACAACGACCGCACGACTACGAGGCATGTTGATGCGAGGGATATAGGAGAAAGTCCATCACGATAGGTAGATCTTCGTCAAAACCTGTATTTTGACCCTCAGGCAGGATAGTTTTCGCGCGTCCCCTTGCTGAAAATGGAGGAGGTGCCGCACGCTTATTTGAGAGTCTGACAGCCAGATTGGGGCAGCTCTCTTCTACCCGTTTCCTCGGTTTTACTTCGTCTCCCGACCTCCCACCACTGGACGTCTCCGGAGTGAGAGTGATCTAAGCACACTACACTATTCGACCATTATTGGTCTACAATTGCTTTCTTTGCTGCATTGTGAACTTTTGGATGCCAGCTGTCCAACGCAACGTCTCATCTCCATCACATTGAGGCGGGCTTCGACTTCTTTGATCGCGGGCCAGCATCAGCGCCGTATAGGACCACTGGTCGAGCGACGCTTCTGTAGACCTTTCGCTATTCATGCAGCATGTTGCTTATTAATTGTACTTCATGAAGGTAGCAATAAATGTGCTAGTATTAATATGAATGTGCGGCTACTTGAAGGAGGGCGGCTTCGATGGGCGTCTGGGTCGGCATGTTGCACCTTGGCTAGGCGCTATAGCTTTGTCCTCTGCTGGAAAAGGCTCGGCACAGCGCCTGCCAAGGGCACAAAATCCTCTCGTGCTAAGCTCATCATCCCTGTACGCCCTGTCGATTCATCGTGCCACTAGCCTTCAAAAAAGGAAAGACAGCTTCAGCTGGCATGCAAAAAAATGGAGAATGACTATGGAAAACAGTATGTTTTACCTTTTCAACAGACCAGCTATTTGTACTAGTCAATCTCTAAAATTCTGTCTTTAGTTCTTCGCTCTCCCCACAAAGCTGTTAATTTCTCGATCATTTATGAGCGCTGAGTAAACCCGAATCAAGCTGAAACTCAAATTCGCTATTCCTATATCAGTCACTGGAGAAATTGAAAGTGCGAATGTTCGGATAGCCGCGATCGAGGCCGAGTCACGATATCACTGACGCGGATGTTGACCTCTATTCCTTTAGACGATTCGCTTTCAATCGCCCGATTCCGAAAACCCTCTGTCGATTTCGCAGTGTCATTCAACGACGAACTTCGATTACAATCCGTCAAATTCTCCAGCTGATCAAAACTCTCATTCGGCATTCGATTTCGTTCAGTATTCGGCACATCCCAAAATCCCGACGCTACTTTCCGCATATCTGGGAGCCGTAGACTTTCACTTTACGTTTTTAAGCTTAGGGAGAGATTTGGCAATCCGGGGTCATCCCCTTGGTGGCTTGCAGTGTTGGCAGCACATTGCCCTTTCCTCTCCAATTTTTGGCCCTCCCCTTACCACTTCCCTTCCCTGCCTAACTTTTCTGCACCTCATTATCTCCTAACTTTTCTGCACCTCATTATCTATGGTCTTTTTTACATGTCTATTGCAATTTTTTTATGTCCACTGTTGCTGTGTTGATGATCACATTATTGATAGCATTTGTAAATAAATAAAATTGAATTAAATGTGAACCATCCGAGGCTGTCTGCTTAGCTCTCGCTACTATGATTCTAATTTGGCATGTTATACGAATACGCCCCTAACCCCTTCCTCTCTAAAACTTTTCCAGATGATACGACGAACCTTCTGCTGCCTTCTTACTATTTACCTCACACAGAACTCCAGAGCCTCATACTGTGGGCAGGCCGCAATCCCATTCACATTTCAGGTTTGTGCCATTCAACAGCCATTACATTTCGAACCCTCTTGAGACCCCTTGGCATTCTTCTTCGTCTTTTTCTACAATTTATTGATGACGAGAATGCCAGGTAACGACCTGTCAGAAACGGCTACGTTAGAGTCAACTGACAGGCTTCAAAGAGCTCTAGGCTCAAGCCTGGAAGAAAGTTCTGGGCTTAAGCCTGCAAAAGAGCTCTGGGTTTGAACCTACTGCGTTCCTTTAACACATTACCTACTCTAATAGCTCTGCAACGAAATTGCGTTAACGTCCAAACATTTGATCTATTTTGTGCAGGTCCTCCACAGCGGCTTACCGGTATTGGGTTGTGCTCGACCGAACTGCTTTGGATGGAACGCCAATGGCACCCGAGCCGATGAAACAGCTCAGTTTTACAGGTTTGTGCCTTTCCATGGTGCAGAGACGTAGGATAAACTGGTATTCAGGCAACATTTTGTTCAGGATCAATGGTAAAGAAGATGGTTACTTGAGACGTTCTGATCAAATAAATCGCTCACCGTTCCGTAACCAAGACATGGTAGCTCGAGTTGCGGTAAGATAATGCTCATCAGCCGATTTCATCCCCTTCTGTTTTCTCTTCGGCGCAGTTCGGCTTGGAGGGGGGGGGGATTGCACTCCCGCTATTTCCTCATTGTCGCATTCACTGCATTATAAAAGGTTAGCAATACTCTTTGTAAGTTGACAAATAGCGTCAACAAACTTTAACTGGTATCACTTCATGGCTTCCCCAAGTGTTTCATAGGTCTCTTTTTGACGGCTCAAGGGGACAACGTAAGCAGCGAAAGTGTGAAAATGCCCCACCCCACCCCGCCAAACTGTGCCTACCGTTCTTCCACAGCCCAGTTGCGTTCATGTCGCCCTTTGTGATTTAGAAATGCGAAGAAACTTATTCAAAGCAAGGATGCGTGGCAGGGCAATGGATAGGTGGAATCGCTCCTAAGAGCCTTACACGTAGCTCCGATTTGCAGGTGAAAGGTCATGCAAACCCATAGTGGGATGCTATGAGAAATTGAGGGTTCCCATGAGTTTAATCTCGTTTTTTATAGGTGCGGTGTTGTTGGTATGCCCCACTGCTTGAATCGGAAGATCGAGGTGTAGCCATGGTGTCAAACGTATGAGATACTATCGTTTTCACTACTTATCAATAAATCGATAGTCCTAAGCTTCTAGGGTCAATTAGTTGTTGGTGGCGAAGTGATGGATGGTGAAGTACTCGATGGTTTCGACTATATTGCCGATATCAAATCTGAAGGAATCAAAAACGGCAAGTAGGTGTCATCGACATTTCCTCATGTGAGAATAGGGTACAGCATCGTTAGGAGAGTCCCATTAAGGGGGTGCACTAGGTCGTTGTGAAGGGAAGGTCATGGGGGTCGTAGCTGGTGTTGATAGATATTTTCCGAACCACGAGAAAATTTTTTTCTTGGTTCTTTACTCCTCGCGGTGCTTACCCGTGCGTTATACACCCTTCCCTATTTCTTTGGAAAACTGGGAAAAACTGGAAATTCTCGTGGAACTGGGAGAAGTGTAGTAAGTTAGGAAATTAGTAAAATGGTAGGTGGCACAGGGGCGGAAGGTGTAGAGGAGGATCTTACCGCAAGAGGAAATCTCGGAGAGGGGGTCGTTGGTGCCGCCATTTCTCTCACACCGATGCTGTACCCTGTACGGCAAAGCTGTTTAATTCAATTTTTTACCGGTAGCGATTTGTTTTTTTTATAGGACTGTTTACGCTGTGTCAATTCGACGAATGACATGCACTGATGATAACGGTGTAGCTGGTATTTTTATACTTATAATGATTATTTCAATTCTTACTTTTCAGAATTTTGCCGTGGGATTCCATTCAGTTAGTTGAACTTTTGAACCATCTGTCTCAATGTCCCTCCATGAATTTCTCACGCCACACTTCAATACGGGTCAATGTGCCGTTCAGAATACCACTTGAGAATCTTTTGAAAGTGCCCCATTGATACGTTTTTTATTGGCATTCCCGTTGAATGTTTCAGAAAATGCTGTGCTTCAGGACTTGGACGGCGACGTTCAGATGAAAAACAAGGTGATCAGGTTTTTACTTGCTTTTGTATTGAGAATGGGATCAATGAAGTGGTCAAGTTTCCACATTGCGAATAACACGAGAAAAAGGACAAAGCTATCGGCGTTGATCAATCTCTTTTTCGAAATGCGCAATGCATTCCACTTCCATCCACATTAGTGGTGGCATTTTGGATATTATTTGGCTTCCACAATAATGTTTGGGGTCAACCATGCGTTTTTATTCCCTCAGGTTCCGCAGCGATATAACACACGGACCTCTAGTACGAAAGGGAGACGGGCCGGAGAATCGTAATTTGCCGCTCCGCCGCGCGCGGCGATGCGCGCGTTTTCTTAACTCGTGTTAACCTGTCGATTGGAGCACCGGACTTCATGTAGACCCCGTCATCGTAGACATTCATGACTATTTTCGGTTCTGAATTGCCTGTTGTCGCCCTACCTGGAACCATCGTCATTTGCGGGCGCGACGTCGCACGCGACGCCCACCAGCGCGGAGAATTACGATTCTCTTGTCACATACCCGGTACGGCGACATCAACGACCATCTTCTCACATCTACGATCAACAATCAGAAGTGATAGTTATGCAGCGCCACCTACTAAGAGGGGGGGTATGCGAACGCGAAAAAATCAACAATTGCAATCGAGGCCAACTACCTCCTCTCCCCCTGCAACCGAATACGACCTCGTTGTGGATCCCCTTAACGAACGACGTGCCCTGATGGAATGTGTGGGTCGCACGGAGATTTCTACCCACATTTCGACTTAGGATCGTGTTCATGGTAAATGGCCTCTCTCGCAGTACTCCCCTTCCTCTTACAACTGGGTACAGCATCGTGATATGTGAAATGCTGGTGTCCCCCTCCTTCCCTTAACACCTACCTAACAGGTTCCCACATTTTGCAGTTTTTTCTCCGGAAAATTTTGTTCGATCGGGAAGGGGAGAGGGCATATAGCACACATGAAGCAGGGAAAATCACGAAAAGTCAAACCGGGAAAAATTTACGCGGCAAATTTCCCTCATAGGCATATACGATCCCCCCTCTCCCAACAACGACCAAATACGACCTCCTATCTCCCCAGGGGAAAAGTACGACCCCTATGTGTTTCACACAACGATGCTGTACCCTGTCCTACAATACCCAGCCCAGCAAAGAGCTTCGAACGAGCCGAGCGCTAAGTCTGCTCCCTGTGCTCTCACGGGTGAAATTAGTGGCACACTCCTCACCCTTCCCTAAGACTTAGGCAGTAGTCTTGGATCGAATCGCTTCAAGCACTAGAGCCTCTAATCCTTCCGGAGGTGTTTCATTGGCTTGGTAGCCGTCCATAAGCACTATAATATTGGTCAGTATCTCGACTGGTTCGTTCTGTGGGTCTATGGCACAGCCAATCTGAATGGAAGATGAATGCGTGGCGCATCTTGGCATGAGATAGTCGGCTTTGGAAACTTCTGCTTTCCATCGTTCGAACCTGTCTTTCCCATGATGAAAAGCAGAAACTTCGTTCCTCTTCTTCGAACTACGAAGGTTCCCACTTGGGACCCCAACCGGGTTTTCGTGACTTCTGTTGTAGAGGAACGCGCACAGGGGGGGGGGGAATGACAATGTATTTTCTACCGCAAATATTAGCATCGGACCTCGAAAAGTTGAGAGTGGACATGATTGCTGGAGGCGGGTGTTGTTGTCGATGTAAATGGTGGAGGGGCGTTGGCAACATCCACACAAAGCGGTAGGCAGTTTGATCAAACGCCATCCTTCAGCCCTTCCACCCCCTGGCAACACCGACCGCCTTTAGCAATCGTGCCCACTTGCTTGGAGCTGATAGGAAAAGGGGGCTCTGAAAAGCCGAGATTTCGCTGAGATTTTGAGCTCTTCTCCTTGCTGTCATTCTGCAAATTTTTCGGAAAAAAGAGATATCTGTAGGTACGAAAGTAGTTGAAGCAGGGCTTGTGGATTAGACGAGTTTTTGCTAGAGGCTGCTGTAAAGGAGGTTCGCGCTCAACGAAGTCATTCACATTCTTACCTTGAATATAAACTTTGGGCTATTGAAGAACTACTCGATAACTGCTAAGAATAAAGGCGATTAAAGAGTATCTGGATCGCTGTGGACAACCTTGTACTAGTTTTGCGTCAGAGTGTTGTAAAGTAGGGGTGCTAAAAAGCAAGATTGCTCAAATTGCTTCGTCCACGTTGATATTTGTATTTTTTCTCGTGCTGATGCTCTCTCGTCACTCTCTCTCAACCGGAATTGCAACGAATCATTGCCTCTCAAAAAGAACACGGAAGGCCTCACTCGAGTCCTTTCCGACGGATTGTTCTTCTTTTTTTCGCGATCAAGTCACCCGGCACATGCATACTTCAACCCTGGTACCTACAAAGTTTTCGGCGGCTTATCGCCAGATATGCCCTTCATAACCGATTTTTCCAGTGGAAAACATGTCCTGGCCTTCGCGTAATTATTAGATGACAAGGGCTCTACCCTGGCGATTGTCTAGAGGCAGTTGGCAAGATAAAGGACGAGTAGGATCAATACGCCTGCCTAGGACGGAGTTCCGTCCCCCTGAGCACATTACTTAAGGAAGGTCCCCTTATAAGGCCCCTCAAGCTGCATTATACCGACCTGTCCGCTCTTAAATGAACGACCGTACGTGATGCTCCTACCGCTTCATTTGCGAAGTAAAATATGAAGCGAAGGGATTGATATGAAGCGGCCATGGTGCTGCATGGATATATGAGTACATACGTGCAGCCGTATCTACCGTAGCGGTTATTGGCACAATGCCAACAGCAAACTCGTCCAGAATTTCTTTCTGAGTCATGGAGAACGAAGGCTGTTTTTCGCAGCTTTTAGCTTTTCACTTCGTTTTTTCGCCATTCTCCCCACTATATTGCACCCTGCCAGCATTATAGCCCAAGTACCAAATCATTTATCGTGCCATATGCCTTTGATGAGCCCTTATGCAACATTCGGTTACCGTAACACGGCGAATTATTGCAGTAGAAGCCCCATTGCATTTCACTATTGCTTCCTCCAATATTGTTCAGGTGGTAATAGAATGGAAAGAGAACAAAATCTTTCATTGACTTATAGTAGGATTGATCCGAATGCTGCCAACCTAACCAACCTGCTAGGTGGGCCCCACACAGAATAACCCACTAAAACAGGTGAAGCCTCCTCTGGGGTACCCCTTCCGAGGTCGTGTCCGGTCTCAAACGGAGTTTTTTTTTCTAAACTAAGGGAAATTTCTGTTGAGCTGGTCTTTCCTGTTTCAGTCGCGCTGTGTCCCCCTCCTCTTGGCAGCTACGTAGAACTACTATGTAAACACTATTTCTGATGCATATGTAGTAAACAGGAAAGTACCGCAGTACCTCTCGTTGCTGCTCGGCGGTCGTTTCCTGGCGGCGGGGAAGGGGTGGGGGGGGGCGAGGGCGACGGTGGAACCGTACCTGTTGCGCCATTTCACCCATCGCGATGCTATACCCTGCCTATTCCGCACTAGATTTGGTGTGTACTGCCAGCTTATCAGCACTTTTTGTCACACATAGGTAGATAAAACTAGTACTTTTGGCAGCCATTGCTGCGACCTATTTCTTGTAAAAACTCTCTTAAAGGCAGTTGGCACGATAAATCGCTATACAGGTGTAGGTTTGTACAACTGGCTTAACAGAATTCCGTGACCTCGGACAGGCGCTGCGTGAAGCCTTTTCCAAGGAGGGTACCTCTATAACGCCCTATTGAGCAACAACTTTACGTCCCAAACGCCTTCCTTGCCCGCCCGCCCACAAACGGACGACCGTTTCTGACGCTCGTATTCATTCATTTGCTGAGCAAATTATGAAGCAAAGGGATTGGTATGAAGCGGCGGTGATGCTGCATGCATATATGGGTACACATATGCAGCCGTATCTTCGGTAGCGGTGATTGGCAAGATGCGTACGGGAAACTCGTCCGAAATCGATTTACAAGTCACTGAGAACGGAGGCTTTTTCTTCGCCGGATTTTGACCGTTTCACTCCGTTCTTTCGCCATTTCCCCACTATACAGCGCCCTACTAGCATTTTAGGCTAAGTAGGAAACCATCGTGCCAACTGCCTTTAATGTTGAGTAGTCTATCGTACACATGAAAGCAACAAAGCCAACAGCAACACAGCCCTCGTTCAAGAAGCGCGGATCGATTCCGTTCTAATGGGCCGTGAATTGGATTTCTGCAAGTAATAGTTT